TCACATGTTTGACCCCCTTCCGATCTCATGAGACCGTAAACGAGTGCAGGGCAAAATTACACAGGATACCTATCGAGATCATGTCGATCGAACGAAACTCATCAACTGATACATGCCCCCATGTCATTTCGCGTTATGTTCGTTTTTTTAGAATCGAGCAAAAAAAAGTCGATTATGTTTTTATTGTCGCTTTAAAGGATATAGTACTCCGCAGTTTCTTATCGATCTCCTATAATGTTTTATCTCTTTTTACAGATCTCTGAAAATACTTACATCACTTTTCTATGTGAAGAATTTACGACTGTATCTAAAAATTTCTCATACTATAAACTATAAGTCAGTTATAAAAAATGTTATAAATTCGCTAAGTTTAAATTTTTAGTGTGTGTGTGTGTGTGTGTGTGTGTGCTACAGATATAAAAAAGTTCAAAACGATACAAATGTTGCAAAAATATCTGAGACACTTAAATTTTTTAGACTGTCTCTCTCTCTCTACCTTTCTCTTATACTCTTTCACATTGTTTGAAATACGTCTTGCATATTGATAACTTTTATCAATAAGCAACATCTTATTTTGCTTTTCCATAATGCCTAGATTACATTATTCTCAGCATCCGCAAACGCGCTCTGTTCAGTGTAACACCGTTCCGTCAGATGTCCAGCTTCGCCCCGGGGACATCGCAGCATGCGCGCGTGTACCGGTACGCGGATGCGGGACACGCGGGTCGCGGATGGGGAACTGGACTTGGCGGATTTGGGAGCTGACCGAGCTTTCTATCTATAGCCACCCGGGCGAACCTTAAATAGCTGCGACGATACGCGACACGATTTCACACGGTGTAACCTATCACAATGCGTAACTAATACCAACAATGAAATAGAAATAGTAATCTCCAGAAGAGATCACTTAACGTAGTTGACCGTCCGAGGGTGGGTCAACCATTATTATTTTCCGTCGATTTTGACTTAGACGGAACATTGGTGTATAGGGGGATACTGACCTGCAGCGGACCGCAGGTGGCTGCTGCATCGTCCTGGATGACGGTCTGACGAGGAGAGCACGTCGTTCCGGCAGAAGCGAGTCGCTCCGGTAGAACTGACATCCGCAACGGACCTCGCGTCCGAGGCTCGACGTTGACGACGCCCGCGAAGTGCGTCCTCGTTGCTCCGGCTCCATCCCCACCCCGAAGAAACACCGCAACTACACGGAGGTCGGGCACTCCAATCCACCTCCAGTCTCCTTTTTCTCTATCTGCCTACCTGAACGACGATCAAGGGAGCAACGACGATGACGACGTCGACGTCGACGACGACGACAACGACGACAACGACGACGACGACGACGACGACGACGTTTCGTCGTTCTTCCCAGAACGTCGTTCACGAAATACCCTTCACCTCCCAGTCGAAGGGAAGCGGGAGAGACAAAAAGAGAAAAAAAAAAGAGAGATAGAGGGAGAGACAGAGTAGAGAGGAGGCTGAGCGGCCCGCTAGAGCAGCCCGCTGCAGCGGCTCCTAGGCGACTCCCTTCTATACCCTCGGCCGCCCATCGCGAGCGCGACTGGGACGGATATTAGATTATTTATAGCAGCCTCCGGTATTCGACGGGCTACGACACTGTCTCGGACCGTTCGAACCATCGAATCACCTGGTGCATCTCCGGTCCACTCGGACCATCGTGGCAAATTATATCGCGGATGTATTGCCACGCGGTCGGAAAGATCCGGATGGGTTCTCCTCTTCTTCGTGTAGTTAGATAAACGATTTGATAAACATAAATAAAATCGCACTAATAAAAATTTCGCGATTGGCTAAGTACCAAAAGCGACGGTATTTCTGTAACGTGTATGTTGTTATTTTCAGTGTAGGAAGAAAGCGAATTGACGTGACTCGTAGACTATACGGAACTACTCGGACTTGCTATCGTCGGCGTCTCTCAGCGATAAATGACGCTGATGAGTGCTGCTAATGCAGCAGGAAATTAGGGTACAGCTGCGATATTCTATGCTGCGTTAGCGCCACTTATTGGTATCTTAATTATTAGAAGAAGAGATACGACGGCGGCAGCGCTTTCGCGCTACTCAGTCAATTTTGTTATTTAATTATGGACAAAGTTACTTCTCTTTAAGTATTTCTTGCCATTGTTAACACGAGCGATGTATTTATAACTAAAAACCAAATTCTGCGCTGTAAAAATTAAAAAAAAGAATCGATGAAATATATTAGGTGTTGGAATTAATTCGTAGCGTTTTTAATGAAAGAATGTTATTTATTTCACATGAGCATTAAAAAATACATTAATGAAAGTACTTCCCATCTCTTGTAAAACGCTACGAATTAATTCCAACACCTAATATGTATAATCCTCATACGAGCACACACGATATATGATCGTATAAATTGATGAGCAACTTCTGCTTTTACTTGATAATTAATCCTTGAGAAATAATAATTCCTAATAATAATTTTTCTTAATAATTATTCCTTGTGGGGATCCTCCTTGCTGCAGCTGGAATGAAACAGGCGCAATTCGTTGAATCTAATAGTAAGTAAAAAAATATACGTTTCTCGAAGCAGGAAAGTGTTGCGACTTGAGATAAAAACGATGATTACGTGATTTGATTTGAAAGTGAAATTTTTTCTTTTCGAACAATCTCGTTGCAATGACGCGCATTATCTCGCAGCACGCGAGCGTATAAAGAAAGTTATAAAGGCGGACGAACGTCATGCGCGACAACGTGGATTCGGCGATTGTGTCACATCTTGGCACTCGATGCCAGCACCGCGATACAATGCTTAATGATGAGACGGCTGTCGACTTTGTTAATGCACCTCGGTCAATGTAAAAATAATTCGTAGAGAAAGACGCAGCTGCATTGCATTCTTCTTGAAAGCTGCACGTTTGTAATTGTACATATGGTTCGTAATTCTGTATATACGGATGATGTTCCGCAGTATATACACGTGTATTTGGTGTCCCAAGATTACCGGCACATCTTTCATACACACTGAAAGATTAATCAAGAGCTGATCTTCCCCTACAATTTGGACTGTACCCTTATAATACAGTTATGTTCATTCCCAACCGCAATAAATAAAGAAAATATATAAAAATTGACGTACAACTTGTGAATATTATTAATGACTCTACGTTTTACTAAAAATTTTTACTAAAAATGGTTCAAATTAATCGAAAAGTGGCAGTAGAAGCGATGATAATTCTGTGACACCCTGCATACTGTACAGAGTATTCGATAACGAATGGTAAAATCCGAGAGGTTGATTTTACGTACAAAAATAAATCGAAATCGATTATTTAGAGTAGAAAAGCGTTATAGACGCCTCAATTTTTAAAAGTCATTTTTTGAAAAAAAAGACAGAGCTTCATGCAAAAAAACAATTTAGTCTACATTTCTGATTTATTTTTACGTGTATAAAATCTCTTCTTTCTCGATTGTACCAATCATTACGGAACAATCTGTATAAAACGTTATATAAACGTTATATATAATATTCTTTCCTCGATATCTATCGTGTACTATACAGTGTGTTCCAGACGTACCACGTCGTTTCGACTTACAACGTTAGACTGAGAGAATCTCGATGCAGAATGTCAATAGCTCTTGAGACATGAACAATGAGAGGTTCAAGTTTCACGAACATGTAAATAAATAACGAAGTACCGTTTTTCAGCCAACTTTAAATAAACGTTTACTCTTAAACTTTTAATTCAGCTCGTTAAAGATATTCAATCTGTAAAACTAAATGGCGGACGGTGCTGCACGATTTAAGTTTTCGCTAAAGAAAAAAACTCTACTCGAAAAACACGTTAACGATCACGCGACTGAAAGATGGTCCGGTAGGTCTGAAACGCTCCATACTTTTGCAATACTTTATAAAATATATAGAATATACAGCACGTATTGTGTATGTGTCGTGTGTGTAAATATATAATACATTGTGTGTACGTGTGTATGTGTATGTGTGTGTATTGTGTTACGCTAGGAGTCCTATAACGACGTTCGCTCGACGTTCGTATGGCCGCTAAAGATCCGATATAGTGTGATGTCATTCAGGAGGAAGGGATGATCGCATGTACAAGTGAGCGCCTAGCAATTTCTTCGATAATCTTCCGACTCGCATGGCCGCTCGCTTATCCCGTGCGAGTTGTCCGTACGGTTAACGTCAAACTCCTCGTCAAGCTCGTAGACCGCGCTCTACTTTTTGCTTATAAATAAACGAGCGAGGAGGAGAAGAGACATTTCCGCGCGCGTGGGTGACGCTCGACCGATCGCGAGCGACCACGACGAAAACGACGACGGCGACGTAGTGTCGGAGATGATGTGTCTCTGCCTTGAATCGCACGAAACGGGGACAGTGGACGCGTTTTCACGGTGTTCGAGTACGAGACAGAGAGAATGCAAATCATCGGGGATGTGTTATTCGTACGAAAATTATATTGCCACTCTACACACACACATACACACACACACACACACACATATCTATATGTATACATATACATATATATATATGTATGTATGTATATATGTATACCTATGTTACAGTTGAAGCATTCGAGCGCATTTCAAGTGTGTAACTCTTGAAAAACCAGAAGCGGTAATTTAATTTTTACATTATCAGTCCGAAGCGTCGGTACGTAGCAGCAATACTCGCTCGATCGCCAATCATATTTCTATGGGATTTCTCCATGTCGCAGCGTTGTCGTTATAATCGGACGGTGTAGGCGAGCCCCGTCGTCCGGCAATTACGCGAAATCGGTAGAGCGATTATCTTGCCTCGGTGCCGCGTTGTGTCGTGTTGTCACGGTGTTGTCATGCGCTATTCCCGTGGTGTGTCGCGTCCAAGTTCTTGGGGAAGGACTTCCGGATCCCTGATTCTCGCTGACACGGCCGCGCGATCCCGCGAATTACGCGATTACTGCGAAGACGCGGTTTAATGAGGTCTCAGTGTAACGATTTTATTGTTGCAATTATAATTACAGTAGTCGTAATCGTAATCGTGGTTGTGAGATGGTAACACGGACGTCGTGTCGGAGACCGGGCAGGGTAGATGCCGGGGTCAGGCGAGCTCGTTGCTTTCCGGAAAGTGATCGCGGGCGTCCAGGCAGGCGGCTAGATCGAGCACCAGGTGGTGGAGGGTGGGATGCTCGAGGACTTCCGCGTCCGGCAGAGGCGGATGACAACGCGGCCTCTGCTGACGGCCTCTGAACGAACGGTGCAGATTCAGTACCACGTCGCAGAACACGTAGCGCACCAATAGCAGTCGCAGGAAGTCATCACCGAAGAACTGCAGCACGCTGGTCTCTACGAGTTGCGAGATCGCGGATCAACTTGTGAAATAACGAACATCAAGAACAGATTTGATTTAGTGGAGGAAGATGCTCTTCAAACGTCAGTTCTTTTTACAATTCGTAGCATTAAAATAAATGAGCGTATATTTTTCTTTGGAGTTAGTCAGTGAGACTTCGAAGGATTGCAACTTTTTAATTTTCTCAGATATTTCGAATTGAGCTTTCAAACAGGCTTTTCTAGAAGTGACGCGGAGGCGAATAAAGAAAAAGCACGCAGTTATCTTTTCTCTATATATAAAATTATGCGATATCTTGCCGAGACTCTTAAATTTTCGATTTTTTAACTGAGTTTGTTCAAGGAAATTTATGACAGAAAGATAATCCGGTTATATTTTGAATAAATGTTTTGAATAGAAAGCATGTGATATAACATTGGTTCATCTTGGTAAAGATAATAGGTATCCCTTAACTCGGGAGTTAAAGAGACATACAGAAATCGGAGAACAGGAGTTCGCCGATAAATTCGTTTGGATCTAGGCCAAATGCGTTTATTGTTGTAACACGATCGTAAGTCGTATTCAATGAGCCAGACGGTTGCTGCCACACAACGAACATGACTCCGTTTTGACGATAAAATCGTAATTTTGCTCGCCTTTCTCAGTGTTGCGTTATAACTATCAAACACCACGCGATATACTGGTCAAGTTGAATAAATCTTTTTCGATAACTACGTGCTTTTTTTAGAACGCGATACAATCCTACAGAAATGTTCTATCTTCAATTATTACGATAAATATTCAAGGTGGATATTTTAAAAGCTGTTTCTTAAAATAATAAAAGCACTTGAATTCGACGATTAAGACCTATGAAACAGTAATTACTCCTGTTTCAAGATAGATTGAATATAAATTTATAATTTCAATTATAATCTTTTCATTAATAATGCCAATTTTTAGCCGTCCAGCAAGAAACTGATTGAGAGATGATTCAGGTTCTCCTAGCATTCATCGTCCTCCACTATCGCGTTCGTTGGTCCTTTTTATCTGATCGACGCTTTGGACAATTTCGATGCGTCGAGTATCCTTACCGCATCGGGAACGCGTTACGAGCTGACTGGCCTCGTTAAGGAATCGCTCGATGTAACGCTGGCAGCGCTCCCAATGTTGCACGGGCAGACTCCCGACGTTGCATATAAGGCAAAAGGCGGCGAGGGGGGCGTGAAGAAATAGGGTGAACAGGCTGCCACCGTGTCGCAGGTCGCGCAGGGTCGGCGGTACGTCCTGCGGCGACATTAGCACCATCAGGGGTTGACCGAAGTAACGCGGTATCTGTTGGAACACGAAGCTGTTGTCCGAGTCGACGACGACAAAGAGCGGCTTCCTGGTGAAGGGATACAGATCACCCGGGTACAGACAGTGCGGCTCCTTACCGCCGGCCGGCCTCTTCCCGTGTTCTGGATCCCTCTTGCTGCACGTGGACACGCCGCCCAGGTCGTACCCCACTGCAAAATCGCAAAATTTTATCAACATCGTGCAATTCTGCGTTCGCCGATCCGTTAAACGGATGTTAGGCAACATTGAGGAAACTTAGGAAATCCGGTCATGTTTATTTGACACGAAGTATCTCGCAAGATTTACAATTGAGATAAGATATATTTCTCAAAACGAGATAAATCTTGAATGACTTTTTCTTAGCGAAAATTCAATATTTTTTTAGAATTTTCAGATCTTTAACGTTCAAATATTGTAGTAATTGATGCGTGAATTAAGATTTCAAGAATTCGGAAGATTATATGAATTTAATTAAATATAAAAAAACTTTGTTATATTTATTTAATACATGTATACTGTTTGATTTTCATTGATGATTCAGAACTTTACTCATCATATTAAAATGTATTACAAACGATCTTGTTTTAGAACATCTAAAATATTTCAGATGTTCTTAACATGAATAGCAATTTATATATGAAACGTGACTTTCCCCAATGTTGCCATCACTCACCGCAACCATTATTTTAATTCTAAGCATAAGCAAAAGTTCTAAAAATTTTATATATGCTTTTCGAAGCAGTTCTATCAATAAACAAAAGCCGTAGAATCCGTTCCGCATTATTTATGTTGCCAATTATTGTAATCGATGGACTCCTGGTTTCTAATACATTGATATTGATTGCAAAGCTAGATTCACCATCGTACGAATCTTTATTACGAAGCAGCCTTGATATTGAGACGATACTCTATTTTCCTTTAAAGATCTTCGCATTGCAGTGGCAACCGATATGTAATCTTGATCTAAGGCGTAATGTTCAATTCTCTTTAAATCGTGGCTAATCAAAGTTACATGCAGATAAATTGCAAGTAACTTTGATTTTGTTCTATCAGCATAAATAATGCGTGCAAATATAATGGAATAAACTAATTTATAAGACACAATAATAACAAGAAGACAATACATAAATTCTGTTGAAACAACAAAAGTCGTCCTCGAGACTCGACATTCATGCCGCATTATCCGAATATAATAAACATTAACTTAATTAATTACTATTAAAATAACATTAATAAATCATCTAAAAAATTTTCAATAATTAGACATTCGTTCATATTTCTCAAGCCATTCCAAATATGTTACGTTTCAAATCTTTTAAAAATTTCCGAAACATTTTACATAAAATATATCAAACATGCATTTTTTAAAACCGATCTCGATATCTACGGTAATGAGAAGAACATATACATTTATAAATCCTCCCTCCTCGAAATTGCTATGACTGTTCCATTATTATCGTTCATTGTTAATGAACAAAATATGCATCTTGCAAATTCAAGGTGAGCGTAAAACAGCTAAATAAAAAACACATTCAAATTAAATTTAACATAAGAATTTAAATATAAAAATATAAACAGAAAAATTTTAACATGAAAATCTTTTTGTTTTCTTACGATAACAACGATGCTAGTAAATCGGCAAGACATATTTACACTTCAAATTGAATAAAAAATTTTTTAGAACAGTTCCTCTGTAAATTTACAAAAATCAAGTCAGAATTTGTTAAATAATCTCTCTTTCTCTCTTTCGCTTTCTCCATCGAAAAATTTTCAGTCAATCTAGGACACTTTACATGGTCGGTTCGATACAAAGAGATGTTTCAGGAGATGCTCGCATACACGTATACGAAACACGTGGTTGCGGCCTCAACGACATCGCGCGGATTATCGTGTCGTGGCAGTTCCAATTGAGAGAGCACGGGAAAGCCAGCCAGCCACTTCCACGATGATATCGGTTGCCAAAGTACCGGACTACCGACCGGGGAAACTGACCGAAAAGACCGACACGCGTACGCCTTCAGCTTCGTCGAGCGGGTGATGCGCTTTAACTCCGCATGACTGTACAACTGGCCGTTCTGTATCAGTGGTCACTTTTGGATGACCGCCGTTTATGCTGGCGCGCGATCGGCTCAAGCAGAGCGGGAATGGACTTGGTGGAGATTGCAGGGCGTGAAATGCGGGACTCGATACTTGCGATTGATAACGCTCAAGCGCGATGTAACGATTTGCAAACCAAATAATTTTATGCGATATCAAAGTCCGGACAAGAATGACAACTTATTATAAGTTGGGACTTATAATTTGCGGACTTTAATACAAAGTTTGTAATACAAATATATACAAAAATCGAAAAAAAAACAACAATTTTGCAGCATAACTAAAGTTATTGCATGTTAGTATTGTACTATTTGCGTGATCGTTATTTACTCTGTATTTTGATATAATAAATAATTTTTCATTTCAACCCTCTAGAAAGGATATCATTTTGTTAAAAAACTTTTTTTTTTACTAACAATTTTGCTAAAAAATTAGTTGTTTAAAATAAAGAATCTATCAATATTTACACTAGTGATATATATATCTATATATATCAGCATGATTTTTCTGGCAGTTAGAAATATTATCTTTCAGTTCACATACATTTGTATCTTCAGTTTTTAAGAATAACTAATCCCGAATTTATCCCAAATTTATCCCAAATTTAATTTTAAAGTGAACGTTGTAAATTTGCAACACACTCCTAGAGGATTAATCAATACTCTATTCGCGTATTAAAATGTTACGTTTGTAAAGTGTTTAATTTTCTTTTGTAAAAATATCTAATGCGTAAATAAGAATCGCAGAGTGGAACATGTTACATTAATTAAGGACATTCTAATATTTATAATAAAAAGTTTTCATTGGACGGTATACGTTCTTACTTTAAAACCATGCTTTAAGACCAACGCTTTATGCTAATATAGCTCTTTTATTGGTTTATGACAGTTTAAAATTGTACTTAAGATAGTTTCAAATATAAGAATCGACTATGAATACTGACTATTATCAAGTTAACGAGAAAATAAGATTAATAACTTAAATAATTTCATATAAAAGTATGATCTAAATTCAACGATTTCTAATTATTTAGTTTAATCTTTTTCAATCAAGATTACCTCTCCCCTTTATATTCCATCACTTATTTTTATTCTTTATAAAAATATCGTTTTCTCGCGTATTTGTCGCATATTATTAATTGACCTATGATTGATAGGTCATCTTCGGTAGCGAAGCGAATGAAAGCTACTTAAACGTTTGCATAAGCATTGCCACTAAGTTTCTAACTTTTCTAAATAGTGTATAGAGATAATTTATTAATAATATAGCTTGTTAAAACTAGCAGCCCCATCGAGCGACAAATTGAATGCACGATTTATAGAAGATGCATGTCACCCTTTCTTCAAGATCTATTTTCAGCAAATCTTCCGTTTAAAATAAAGGGATTTACGTCTAACGCCTATAAACTTGCGACAGCACAGCGATAAAACGAACAATAAGAGCGTCAATATGAAACTCGATAAAACACTCACTTTCTTCAGGATGCTTGACGGTAGAGAAGCAGCCATCCGCCGACAGGTACAGCAGTAACGCGCCGTTCGCCGGTAGCTCCTTGAAGCCACTTGCGAGGAACACTTGTACCTGGCTGTAGGTCGGCCTATACAGCAGGTACTTGTGCGGATTGTCACGTCTCGGCGCGCCGTTCTCCGGGCCAGGATAGGGCCCGGGTCTAAAGGGCATCCGGCCGGCCGGCGAGGCGTCGTGCAGGTGATTCGGATCGTCTCTGGGCTCTCGCTCGAGTGTCTGCAGCATTCTGAACATGTCCATTGACAACTCACTGAACTTCACCTGATCGGCGCAATTGCCGACTATTAGGATCTCTTGGAGAGATAGGCACATGGGTGGCGATCGTTCGACGGGCGGGCAGGTCTGTGGACCGAGCCTGTGGGTCAGCACGATGGGGTTTGAATCCGAGTGCAGGACACCGACCGCGGACTCGGCCTTGACGAAAGCTTTAATTTCGTCGAGGACGAGGTTCCACTCGAGCTGATCATCGGGCTCGTAGGTGCTGGTGTAATCGGCTATCTGGGCGTCGAGCTCCTGCACAAGCTCCCGCACAAGTTTCATACGGTTGACGACGATGAAGCGGGCGTAATACCTAAGCTTCTTCACCATCAGATCGCTCCTGTCCTCCTTAGCAGCGCGGCTGTAATAGGCGCGACCGCGTATCGCCGCGTAGAACGAGTAGGCCTCGTGCAGGTAGCTCGTCTCGCTAGTACGTAGATAGTAGTGATAGTAGAGCTGGCCGATCTTGCTAGCGATCTCGCCGATCTGCCATCTCTTGAGGCCGTACTTCGTGTCCAGTATCGTTCTAAAAACAAAGCGAAATTGTACATAAGCGTGCTGTTTTTATTTTTTAATCGTCGAATTATTATCTAAAAATTGACTTCTTCCATATTCTTCTATGTTTACTATATATAGATAGTTGAATTAAAATTAAGGTTTTTATTGTCAATAGTCCTTTTTATCATTTCCGAAAAATGCGTGTTTTGGGAACATTGGCGTTTATAACAAAATATATTTTTATAGATTAATTATTACGAGATGATTTTTAGGAACATATTTTTCTTGAAAGAATATTTGCGAATATGTAATACTTTACAACAAAGTAAAATTAGTAATTTTAAATATCTTATATTTATTTTAAATCAAGAATAATCTATTTGAATATTACAATAAACTTATATGACTTAAAAAATCAGTCGTCAAATCAAAATGCAATTTACTTTATATCTCCAACAATAAAATAAATGTATACAATAATAGATATATATAACAAACAAATAAATAAATATATAAAAATTAACAATAAAATAAATATTAATTATAATACACATATACGCATACACGCAACATTCCTAATTAGAAACATTAATAGAGTTCAGAAAGAACGGAGACTAAAAGACTTTCTTTGTTTGCTTCTCTTTCTTGTTTGCTTTATTGAAGATCCGCTTATTACGTACGTATTATACGATAACGTAATTAGCAACGATGTATAATGAAGTAATGACAGAAGTGAGAAAAACAAGTGAAAACTTTTTCCGCCGATATGTAACATTTCAATACGATGCGCGGAAATTGAGTTGTCCTATTGTAAGAATATCAACCAGTTTATGTAAACGGAAATGAGATTCATTCGATCTCATACTAACGCAAACTCATGAGACTGACTGGCGAACAGATACAAAGTCTAAAGCGCAACACACGAGGACTTGGTCACGTGGACCTCGCCACGCAGACCTTTGTTTCGTCATCATCATCTGGATCAGTCGCCGTGATACCCGCGAAACATGATCAGATATCATGCTGCGGTATCGCGAACGTTCGCGTGCTAAAATTATATATCGTACTCTACATCAAAACGCCAAGAACGATACCGTACGATATTTTCTACGATGGTCATAATCTTGCGGCATGCCTCACCGAGCGCCACCACTGTCGTGCCAAATGTGCTTGTTTCTACTCGATCGTGAGAGATCGCGGATGGGCATGGAGGTCATCCGAAGAAATCGACAGAAATCATTTAATCACATGCAAATTTATGAAATTGAATTAATATATGATTTTCCACACTGTAGATATTCGGCACGTATTGTTTATCCCCTATCAGTGGATCATTTTAGAAACGTTTATCTCTTGATAAAGTAATTCGAGAAATCGTTACACCAAGTGTGCTTCAAAAGATCAAAGAATCCTCGCTACAAAGTTATGTATTTCCCTCGCTTTTTCACGTATACACAAGCAGATGCATACACGCGCGCACGCTCCCTCTCTTTCTCTCTCCCTCTCTCCCTTTTTCTTGCCCTTATCTTTATTACTCACCTGTGCTGTTGCTGGAACTTCCACAGCTTCGTGTAGACGTCAAAGGTCCGCCCGAAGTAACCCTGCCACTGCTTATGCCCGTATTGCGGCAGGTCGCGCAGCCCGTTGAACAGCTGCTTGCTCTTCTCGAGCAGGTGACAGAACTCGAGGACGACTTTGCGCTCATGGTCGTCCATGCCAGCCATCATGACCATCTTTTCGGCGAGTCGAGACCGCGGCCGGACGCTGGCTGGACGTCCTTCTCGACGACACGGTCGCGGCGGGCCCGCGTGATGGCGCCTGGCGATTCCGCCACCCTTTTGCACGGCGCCTACGACGACGGCGACCACGGCGACCAATCAATACTTGCCCACCCCGCATCAGGGGGAGCAGCGTGTGCGCCACCACCGCCGCTGCCGACGCCGTCGTGACGCCTAGCGTCGACGTCGACGGCGGAGGCGGCGGCGACGTCAACCGCAGCGACGACGTTCACGGACATCTGTGCGAGCGACGTCGAGGCTTGGGGATGCTCTCGCAAATCGATATTCTCGTTCTAAAAGGTAAAATGTTGATGGAGGTAACTGTTCCTCTCGAGATTATTGCGTCTAATAGTATTATATACTATAATAATTTGATATTAATATTATAGTTGTAATATAATTGAGTAAAATTACAGCAAACAGTAGAAGCTCCCTGGCTTAAATCAGACTCATGACATTTTATTAAATATATTTATATTTAAAGATCTTATTAATTATTTACTTAAAAAATAATCATGCGTTTTACGAGAGAGAAAATGATGCATTTTTAATACAATAGTCTATAATATTCAAAGATATTCAGAATTGGAATTGTTAGAAACTTAGTTGTTTGCACTATCCGTGGACAAAATTCTAGTTCTAACTATCCGATCGGTAGACCAACCATTGTTGAAGTTGAGATCGATAAATTTCTACCCCAGGGTAATGAATACTGCAGGTAACTGCCTAGGGTTGGTCTGTACACAGTCGGTCTGATTTTACTCCAGTCATTACCTACAGCTCTACTGATATATCTTCAAAATGATTATACCATTTATACACTCGAAGCAACAACCAACGGAAGGAATATGAATATTGAGGTGTGAATGCTATCGCAAAGTTGAAGAATAACGAAAAGATTGCAGATAATACGATCAATCAATTTTCTCAAAGTTGTTAATATCTGTATTCATGAAAATAATGATATGATATATGTACATAACTACATATTAAAAAAATGTTTCTTTTAAATATAAAATATTTTAAATATTAATAAGACAACATATTGATTTTTAATTATTCAAATATAAACCCTTTTTAAAAGATGTTTTAATGTAAAATTATCTATTTTTACTTTGCTTTTATTATTACATCTCTTGAAAATTAACATTACGTTTAAATTTGTTACTGAAGCAAAATCTTTTCCAAATTAACTATTAAATAATTTTAATTTGTTTGTCTTTTTTAGAACCATCCAAGGAACCATCTAAAGGAATTAACTACTTTATAATCATTCTTACTATTAATTATCTGATGTGAATCTTAAAGATAATGCAAACAAAAAAAAATATAATTAAAGCATCTAAATTTCTGATTCAGTTATTTTACTCGCACGAGCCTGTTTTAGTAATTAAATTATACGGATCATTAAAATCTCAAGATCACGTACTTCACATACTTCATTCGATTGATATCTCTTTTCCATCGTATGAATCTCCGAACTCCCTCGAAAATCTAACTAACTTTCTATACTCGTTCGGACTCTAACGAGGCCTGTCCGTTTTTCTTTCACCGTAATTAAAATTTCCCGACGAAAGAAGGGTAACGCCACGCCAGCGAACGGAGTGCCGGAGAACAGGGGGTGGTTGTGGCCGCTCGACACTTTCGTCGCCGCGGCTCGTTACGGCGGCAGCGACGGTGGGAGTTTTACCGCCCCGCTAGTCGACTACCGTCGTCGGCGGAGATTAATTAACTAGATAACGGTCGGTGACTGGGAAAGAGGGCGAAGAGAGCGGATAAAAAGGGTGAAAAAGAGAGAGAGAGAGAGAGAGAGAGAGAGAGAGAGAGAGAGAGAGAAAAAGAGAGTCAAATAGAACGAGAGAACGATGAGCGAGAGAAACGCTCCAGAGACGAGGGATGGAAAGCATCACAGGGAAGGAGAGAGGGAGGGAGAGGACGAGAACGCGATGCAACCATGGGCCGACCACGGGAATTCCTGCTAGCGAACCATGGAATCATGGGGGTGGCAGCGATGGTAGTAGGTGGCAGCCAGGGGGCCATTTCCAGAGGCCGGACGGTATAGAGTCCGGAGTATATCGACTGTGTCGCCTCATCTACAAGTCAATCAGGCTCGCGTGTCGGCGGCTCGTGAGGCCTGCTGGTACACGTAAGTAAGTAGCCAGGTCTGATGGGCACCTACACGCATCCCCTGTGCGGTACCCGCGCCTAATACGAGGCGCTACCGTCGTCGACAACGGGGCACCTTCGCTCGACGGGTATGCAAGTATAATGCGCTGGCGCATATATAAATGCTTATGGTAATCCGCGCGCGGTCGGCTTGTTTCGATGCTGGCCGGATGTCTGCTAGATAGAACCCGCTCCCTATCGCCCATTGCTATCGGTACGTATGCCACTGCCATAATGGCCCTATGACGTTTTCTTGCGTATCGCGAACGGACCTGCTATTGTTGGCATATCAGCAACCGCAAACGTAAGTTTAAAAAAGTATCTTTAATGTCTGTAATGGTACAATAGAAGATATTAAGAAATGCAATTTTTTGTTGTCTTTCGAAGACAAACATTATTTTACAGATATATTGTAAAATAACGTTTCTGATCATAGATTCTTTACTTTGATTATATCTTCTTTCATTTGCGCAATATTTGACGCTTGGCTGAGAAGAGTTAGCGTTAACACAAATTAATTTGAAAGCCGTGATGGGATTATCTAACTGCGTATTAGAATTCGCGAAATTATGAATCGAGGTGAAACTGTTCGTCCCGATGAGTCAGCTTGCAATCGATGAGCTCGAATCACGGTCGAAGCGTCGACATGGTTCGAGTCATGACTCGGCTCAAACGGCCGCCGCTGGCAGCTGGCTGTCTGAGTATAGACAAGTGATCATATCGTGTCGTTAACTGATATTAATAGCAGGGCGCGGTGAGCCACGGGTGGAGACTGCTCTTCCTTTTTCTCTCTCTCTCTCTCTCTCTCTTTCTCTCTCCCTCCCTCCCTCCTTGTGTTCCGCTCCTCTATTCCGCATCGATGTACGCTCGAGCGACCCTTGGCCCTAATTGCAACAAATTAAATCAGGCGATATATCGGTGAATCCCTCGGATCAAATTTACGTACGTGCGTTACGTACGAAGCGTGCCGTGATTGTACGTCTTTTCACCGCTGCGACTCGTCTCATATGCACGTTGCTTCTAATTGCACTTCTTTTGTATCAAAAGTACAAGCGACAACCACTCTGAGTTGAGAACATTTGGAGAATAGCCTTAACAAACGGCCAACTGTTTGTAATTTTACGTATCCTATATAAATCTGTCAAAGTTTCAAACTTACTTATGCATTTTTCGCCTACAAATTTATGACAGAATTTAGAAGCTATCTGTTTTTTACTTAATAAGAGAAAGAAAAACAAGGAAAATGATTCAATAATATAAAGACGAAGCATGTATAAATTATAAAATTCATAAAAATTATTTAGAAGCATAAGAAAATTAAAAATTTTAATATTTCAATTATTTATTTTATATTACACAGCTTTGGTTATGCGAAAACTAATAAAAAATATCTAACAAAAGATAAAAAATAGTTTTTAAAATTAAAATTAAAAATTAAGAAACAGTTCTATTAAAAAATAATATTTATTCGTATAATAATTTAATTTTGTTAGCCCTCTTTTAAAGTTTATTTTCCCAAGAAATGCGATAAATTGAGGATGCCTTATATTTAATTTGCCAAAGCTATACATATCTCTTGTTGTTTAAAGAAAAAGAAAACTTTTTCAAATAACACTTTTCCATTATTATGTTCCTATAAAATTTTAACAGAAGCTATTAAAATGTTTGATCATACACACACACACACACACACACACACATACACACACACACAAAGAAATTTATTATATAGACAAGATTCTAAAAGATTATGGTTCTTCATTTGAACAAGTATCGTTAAGGGTTTTTCTGAGAATTCTTAATAAACGCCTCCAAGGAAGAAAAGACTAAATTACTCACGTAACGTCAGAAAACCGTTGTAGTAAATCTGTAGCATTTCTAGAGTAATTTATTTTCACGAACACGCGAGAAGAAGATTAACGTGTTACTATTTTATACGCTGGTATCTGGTACTGTTCATCCCGGTGAAATATCGTGACCGAATTCACGAGATACGAAAGAGATTTTTAAGCATGCGAATAAATTCGCGTTCTTTTTAATGTGTTGCTTTAACCTGTTGAATGCGTTGCTGTTCGTGACAAACAGTGATTACATTTACTCTCTTGAGTCAGATTCATTTTTTCTTTTATCATTTCGACGATCACGTTTTGCGCACGATAAGCGTATTAACCCCGTTGCGACCTTCCTAGAAGGAATTCGTAATATTAAGGTTCACTGTAAAAAACATCATCGTTTTCCATTCTGTTCTCAGCATTTAATATTTTTCTTACAGTAGCAACGAAACATATAAATAATTATTATAAATATGCTAAATATTTCTTATACATAGGTAATTATTTTGTAAAGTGTGTAAAGAATAAACAATATATATATATATATTATCGATTAATTCTAAATTTAAACAACGTACTCTAAAATACAAATTCCTGTTTTTCCAGTTCTTTATTATTATTTAAATCAAATGTAAATTATTTGTAATATCTTTTTTTCATTTTCCATTCTTTAATCTGTAATTTAGTAATTAACATGTTATAATTGTTTTTGCACATGTAGAAATTATAGATACAGAAATTTCAAAAAGAGATTATTATAAACCAAAGCTTTATAAATCAAATTGATTTTACCTTACATTTGTGTATGTCAAATATATATATTTCGTTTTATTTACCATATTGCTATTAATTAAACTTACGAAGATCACATTTCATTTAAATTACAAATTTTCTTTTGCTCATTAATCTATTAATTTTTTCTACTTAATTCGCATAAAATATAATGTTATATAATAAGAAGATATCTTTTCGACCACTATAATAACATAAATACCCATCATATGATTATTGTCTTAGTTTTTCATAAAAAATTTTTTTTTAAATTCATTTCAAAATTACATCTTTTGTTTTTTGAAAGTCGTGTGTAAAGTATTATAAAGGTATCTAGTTGTATTAAAAAAAGAAGGAGAAAGAACTAGAGATAAAAACAGAAAGAAAAAACAGAGAAAAGAGAGAGAAAGAAAGAAAGAAAGAGAGAGACAAAAATAAGATAAAAAGAACGATCGTGGAGACGACTTTTGATATTTCCTGCCCTTACCATTAGCCAAGCAAGACTTGAACGGGATAGGACGGGGTAGAGCGGTGGATGCGAGGAAAGCCTCAGGAAGCTCTAACTCACGGGCAAAGGGGCAACCCACCCCGTTCGACCGAGCCGGCCCCTGCCATTAACATTAACCGAGCACATACAGGGTGTTTGCAATGGCATTATCGATCGGCCTGGGTGAAAAAAGACCAGCGAATCGAGCACTTTGTACGATACGTGCAGGAAACGCCTAGTTTACATTCACGAAAGCCGGCTAAACGCCGATAGACTCGTCCTCGCGGTTATACGCGAACCTCGTGCGTGATAAGCGGTTACCGTTGGTGAAGACATCGCCGAGGACAATATATTTTTCGCGGCACATACCACATCCAAGTTTGGAGATATAAATTTTCACAAATATATATTTTGCAGAAAAATGTTTAATTCTAGAACGATAAAGAATTCCTTTAAAGAATTCCGCTTGTCAAAAAATAAAGATACTTTTTGAAAGATAAAAATATAAAGATATGTTATCTAATTTATTATTTGAAATATCATCATTTGAAATATCATTGCTATTAAGTATACAAAGGACTGCTTCAAAAACAATTTTTTTTTCATTCAAGACGTATAATATTTTTTAATGACAAACGAAGTTATTGTTGAGCATAAACAAATTAAGCAAAATATTTTATAAAATATTTCTCTAGTGTAGTAATGCAATAATTACAGATACAATTATAAATAACACAATTATAAATAAAGCCCAGAATTAAAAAAAGTCTCAAAGTCAAAGAATATAATTACGAAATATAGTTATAAAAAATCGATTGTATAACAAAAAGAATTTCAGCAAAGTTCTTTTCTATGTATTTGAAAGCGTTTCGCTTGCGCGGCTCGGACGTGTTGTTGTTTGCAGAAGAATAAAACTATCAGACTTTTACATGACAATGCACTTCGGATCGCGCAGATCACGATCAGTCGTATGTACAATGCATTGATGTTTCTCGCACGATTGACATCGCTTCTCGTCCGACGATCGGAAACTTTACGCATGAACGAAGAGGTACGACATTATTCATGGCGGTCATAGGAAGCGGAACAACGGCGATGACCGTCGTTAAGAGTGTCTGAAGTACATGTAAAAATAGCTTGCGATAGAACCATTTAAACAATCCCGGAATTAAGCTTTTTTACGTAAATACAAATCTATTCTAATATTAAAGTAAGGAAACTTTTTCAATTTTACAATCAACTTTTCAGCAATATTTCATAAAATAGAAGTTTATATTAGAAATTAAATAGAGATAAATGGTGCAATTGGCTAATGATACAAATAATCAATAGATTACTTAATAATAAATTAAATAGTAAATTTATATTCATTTCTATTAATGTAAACTAGTTTATTTTTGATCATTTTCTAGTTCTAAAGAATAGAAGTAAGCTTTAGTGAAAATATAGTTTATCATCTAACTTGTAATTCTTATCCTTCATTTTATAAACATTTTTACTATACGTATAACATAATTTTATCATTTTATCATTTTCTATAACAGATATCTTGTAAACATAATTGATACATATATAAAATTAAATTACTAGAAGTAGGATTCAGAAATTTAGAATAAGACAAGGAAAAATCTTTAAGATATAAACTTAATTTTATTTAATTTATATTAAATATAGAAATTTCTGAATTAAAAAATAAATTACAATCTATATTTCTTCAAATGATTTGCAATTATTAACTTAGTCTTATCTATTATATATACTTTTGTAAATACATACATACATACTTTTCGTTAAATTCAAAAAGATAAATTAAGCCTTTTGTTTTTCCGATGGTTCGTATCCTTCTTTTTTTACTCAGAATCAACAAATTATAAACGTTGCATCGTGATGACAA